CCGATGTCCTGAGTGCAGAGTTAGCAGTTATCCCTGAGAATTTCTGGGTGTGACCCCCCAAAAATTAATAATTTCAGAGAACCACAAGAAAGATGAAGGAAGCCACTCCTGGGTACATTAAAACCAAACTGCTGAAAACCGATCAGGAAAAATCTGGAAACCAGATAAGAACAAATAAAACAGGATGTACCAGAAACCAGTTCTTGGAGTTATCAGTGACTTCTCACCCGAAAAAATACAGGTGAATGATAGAGGGGAAGTGTCTAAAATGCCAAGAGGCCAGAGAAATAGCACAGGGGTTAAGGCAGCCTGCAGCCGACCCGAGTTCAGTCCCTGGCCTGGGGGTGCTCTACTGATTGTGATACCCCAAACCCCAAGACAAATAATAAAGCAATATGACAAAAGATACAGATTGCTCCTGCAGAATTTCACACTCCTTCGGATGAAGGAAGATATTTTTCCTCTGAGAATCGTCCCACTGGCTGTACAGCCCAGAAGTGCTGCAGGAAGCCCCTCAGATGGGACAAGTCCACCAGAACTGGCAGACACCTAGTGTGTACACATTTAAAGCAGAAATCAGCACTGTTGCTCTGTCACTGTCATTGTCCTCCCGTTGTTCATCGATTCGCTCGAGCGGGCCCAGTGACGTTGTGAGACTTGTTACTGTGTTTGGCATATCGAATACATCACGGGGAGCTTGCCAGGTTTTGCCGTGAGGGGAGATACTCTCGGTAGCTTGCCGGGCTCTCTGAGAGGTCCGAAGGAATGAACCCAGCTCAGCCAGGCTGGCTGCGGGCAAGGCAAACGCCCTACCCACTGGGCTATCGGTCCAGCCCTGTATAATTAAGCTCTTTAGAGAGAAATAATATAGTATAACAAATTAAGCTTATTTTTTTTTTACTTAGATGATAAAAATCAGGGTCAGAGTGGCTAAAACAAAGAGATTTCAGGGACTGGAAGATGTGGTCCGGGCTCAGATTCTTTCCAAGCTGAAGTCAGGAGGGAGACAGCAAATACTAGAGCTAAGCTGGACTTCCCAGGGCAGCCTGGCAGGGTGCAGACAATCCTGAAACCTGACTCAGGCTGGGGTGTCTGCGAGGTCCTGCTTGGCAAGAACATGGCCACTACCATGGCCACTGCCACAGCCACTGCTCACCTGGGGAAGGAATAGCATCGGCAGCCAGAAGACAGGGAGTGGCTTGTCACATCAGAAGCAGGCTGTGTCCTGCTGCTGTGCCTTCACAGAAGCCTGAGTCCTTGGAGCAAGGTGCAGCAGCCGTGAGGGAGAAATAGGTCGTCTCACTGGTTGGTGGAGGTTTTATTTTGTCTGCTGATGGGGGGGGTGCATGTCCCTGTGTCAGCATGCTCAGGGAGTTACTCCCTGCCGTGTTTGGAGGTCGTGGGGGTGCTGGTCATCCATCGCTCCGCCATGCAAAGCACGCACACTAGCTTTGTCTTTGTTTTTCCAGAACCATTTCAGAGAGCCTGGCAAGCTACCGAGAGTATCTCGCCTGCACGGCAGAGCCTGGCAAGCTCCCCGTGACGTATTCGATCTGCCAGACACAGTAACAGCAAAGTCTCCAATGGAGACGTTACTGGGCCCGCTCAAGCAAATCGAAGATCAACGGGAGGGCCTTTACCTTTACCTTTACCTTTATTTAGGATGCACATGGTGAGTCTCCGTGACAGTCTGACCCTGTGCAATTCGCGGATCAAGGCCTCAGCTCTTTCAGAGACAGTGACTCTGGGCAGTATCTCTGGCCATAAGCGGGCCCTAGAATGGACAGGGCACAGCCTCACAACCTGGGGGAGGGGCATCAGTCTGACGTGACTATGCCCTGGGGCTTCAGGCTGGACCTTTTGTTGGCTGGCAGCGGGTGACCTGGCCTCTGTCTCACAGGAGCCAGGACCTGGTGTGACTGCGGCAAGGTGAGCGGCAGGCCCCACGGGAGGGTGGGCAGGAGCAGGGACCCTGGGGTCTCCTCCCGTAGGATTGCTGGCTCTGGCCTCCCGAGCACAGCCTAGGTCCAGAGCTGGTCTGGGAGAGTAGGGGATCCGGGCTGTCCAACTAGAGCCAAGGGCCTGCAGTGGCAGTGCTCAGGACTGTGGTCCTGCAAAGACTCACTCACATGCTGTCCAGAGCCCCCTGCATCCTGGGGTGCCCTGCAGGCGAGTCAGGTGGGGGCCAGGGGCTGGCTCGAGGAGGCCTGGGCAGTGACCATGCCTGGTCAGGAGGGAACGCAGGGGTCCATCCCTGTGGCAGAGACAGGTCACAACCAGTGCAGCCACACTCCTGGGTTGACCCATTCAGCCTCAATTTCCCTGTGTAAAAGGAAGGAACAGCCCAGGCATAGTCAGGGCTGACAGGCATTCATGCAGGCAATGACTTCTTTTGTTATGTGTGGGACATCAGATGGGGCTCAGGTCCCCCCTTTGAAGGAGCATCTTGCCAAGACCCCAACTCAGCACAGGGGCCCACTAATGGTGGCTTCCGCCGTCCCCATCACTGGGCACCTTTGTGCCTGTTAGGAGAGCTCTGGGGCAGGGGTCATGGGCCATTGGCAGCCTTTGTCCTCCCTGCCAGCCAGCCTGTCCAGTGCTCTGGCACCGCTCCCAGAGCTGTGCCCCTGGGATATTGGTACCAGCAGGAAAGTGGCTCTGTGGGGTCCCTGGGATACAAGGTTGGGGATGGGGTGCTGCTTATCAGCTGGTGATCACAGGCATTTCCTCCTAGATGAGCTTCAGATACCAGGTGAGTGACACGGGTAACCCGTCGCCCACCTGTCTGCTCCCCAGTGGGATTTGGGAGTGCATGGCTGGGGGGTGGAGTTGCTGGGTCTCAGTGCTGGCTGGACCTGGTGACTGCAGGCGTTTCCTCCTAGATGAGCTTCACCTCCCAGGTAACTGACGCAGGGAACTGTTGCCCACCTGTCTGCTCCCCAGTGGGGTTTTGGGGGTACATGTTGTGGTGGTTGGGGGTGCTGGACCTGGTGACCGCAGGCGTTTCCTTCTAGACCAGCTGCACATCCCAGGTAACTGGCGCAGAGGCCCCTTGCCCACCTGCCTGCCGCCCCCAGGACATGACACTCCACCTTCTTCACCGCCCTAACTGCCTCATGATGGTCTGACGACGGGGGCAGAAGCCAGGTGCCCCCCACACCCGGCAGGTTTCAGGAGTGTCTGTCCCCGAGGTCAGGGAGGAGGAGGGGTTCGCAGGGTCCCACCTGCCTACAGGGGCCATTCGAGTGTCCCAAGCTCTGGTCGGAAAATGGGGGCGAGGGGTCTTCTCCCAGCTCCCCGCAGGGCCCTGGGTCCCCAAAGCCCCATGTACCCAGTAAAGGCAGTGTGGAGCCAAGGGGCCTGGCCCTCCCTTGGCAGATAGCAGGTAAGAGATGCCAGGCCAAGGACTGTGCAGGGGCACAGGGGGCCTAGGCACTCCCCTGTCGGTGGCCCCACCTCACCCCCTCTTTCTGTCCCCCAGGTTTCCTGCTCCACCAAGGTGCCAGCAGACACAGTGTTGCCTCCAGGATGGCAGGGGGAAGGGAGGGGTTGGGGGAGGAGAGGAGGGCCCTGGGAGACCTGGAAGTCCTGGCAGCAGGTGGCTCAGTCCGTCCTAGGACCTCCTTTGTGCCAGGGTCTGATGGGGGCAGCCAGCACCCTGAAGTTCTTCCTGGCCGAGGGCTTCCTGACCCGCCACTTCGAGGCTGTGGAGCTGGAGGTCTGTGAGCCGGAGCCCGGGGACCTCTTCCTGTTTCGCCTCTTGTCCCCCACGGGCAGCTGGGTGGGCGCCCACGTGGGCGTGTACTGTGGCCACGGGGAGATCATCCACTTCGAGGGTGAGCTTGGTGTTGAACCCCAGGCTGGGGGGCCGGCGGGAAGCAGGGCGAGGGACAGACCCGGGCCAAGTGCCCTCTCCCCCACAGGCAATTGCCCGAGCAGCGTGGGGCCGCGCGCCTTGCTGGGCTCGTGGGAGGGCATCGTGTCTAAGCAGGGCCAGCGCCCGATGCTCCGCTCCCGGCCGCTGTGGCGCGTGCTCCGGAGACGAGGCGGCGTGGACCGGGAGGCGCTGCAGCGCCGGGTGCGCGAGGCCATGGACGCCGACCCGCCACGGTACCACCCCACGCGCAGCAACTGCCTGCACTTCGCGCTGCAGCTGCTGGGACCCGACCCGAGCCTGGAACCCGCCCGCCCGCAGCAGGGGCCGCCGAGCCTGGTGAGGCCCGGCCTCCTGTTCCCCAAGTCCAGGCCCAGATCCATTCGGAGTGCCCAGCAGGAAAGCCCCAGTTGGTAGATTACGGTCACTGCCCTCTCCAGGAGCGGACCCTGCGGCCAACCCCCAGTCCCACCCCGGGGAACCGCCCTCCGGGGTCCGGACACACCTCGGGGCGGTCCTGTCCCCAGCCTGAGCCCAGAGCACGTCCGAGCCAGACCCGCTTTCCTGGGCAGACGTCGGGGCTGGAGGCCTATCCAGGCCTCTCACACGCCCTCGTCCCTCCTTCTACAAGGTGGCTTCGGACACGGACTCGGCCGTGGACCAGGCGTGACGTCCGAGGCGCCTGGGAGCGCGCGGCGGACTGGGGGCTTCGCAAACGCTCATTAAACGCTCCTTAATCGCTCATTAAACGCTTCTCCGAAACTCCACTCGGGTCCTGGACTGTGCCCGCCGCCGCTTGCCCTCCGTGGGTTCCGGTGGTGCCCCTGAACCCCTCGCCCGAGGCTCCTCCCGCAGGGACCCCCAGATCTCGGGGGCGCGGGCACGCGTCGGCGCTGCGCGCGGGAGCCGGCGGTCGGGGCGCCGGCACCCGGGGAGGCGGGTGCCCGCGGGCCCTGAGGGGCTGGGGCGGTGGGCGGCGGGCGGGGACACGGAGGCCACGCCCCTGCCCGCGGCCACGCGCCTGCGCGGCCGGGTGGCTGCGGCTGCGCTGCCCGGATTGCCGCGTCCCGCCCGAGCGCGCCCCGCGCCCCGCGCCCCGCGCCGTCCCCGGGGCCTCCGCGCGAAGTCGCCCGCGCAGCACCATGTCGGCCGCCCCCGCCTACGGCGAGGACAAGGGCGGCTCGGCCGGGGCCGGCGAGCCCGAGTACGGTCACGACCCGGCGAGCGGCGGCATCTTCTCGTCCGACTACAAGCGGTGAGGGGGGCAGGGCACCCTGGAGCCGCGCGGGTACCATGGACAGCGCCCGCGCCGCGCCCCAAGGGGTGCTGACGGACCCGGAGCCCCCTCCGGGCCTCCTGCCGGGGCTCCCGCGGGCCTCACTGAGCTGGCGGCGGCCTGACCCCTCCTGCCCACCCCCCTCATTCCCGCCCTCGGCGCCTCCCGACGCCCCAGGGGCGCCCGCTCGCCCCTGGGCTCCAGTGTTTGCTCCTTCTAACGTTTGATCCGGAACACGCAGGCGTGCGGGCCTGCCTTGGCCGTCAGAGGGCGTGGGCTTGAGGCCCGTGGGGTCCCAAGGGGCTCTAGAGAGGGGACTGACCAGCCTGCGTCGTCGTGGTGGGGTGGGGGGATCAGGGAGCTGGGCAGGAGGGAGGGTCAGTGCCGGCAGTTTGCAAGCCCCCAGGGCTTGCAGGAAGGGGCCTCTGGGGCTGATCCAGTCCGTGGAGAGACTGGAAGCGGAAATGGTGGGGTGAGGCCCTGGTGGGGCGGCTCCGAGCAGTTGGAACCAAATTTGCATACCAGGAGGCCCCTGGCTGGCAGGGAAACGAGATTGGAGGAGTGCTGTGTGCAGTCAGTCGGGGAAGGGTTGAGGTGATAGAAGCCACAGACCTGGTGGGTAGTTGGGGGCTGGGGAGCAGAAGGGACCGGTAAGGACAGAGCTTGGGAAGCTGGGCATGAAGGAGCAAATTCCTGCGAATCCCAGCAGATTCGCAGAAACTGTGGAACCCAGCCCCGTGCCTGTGAACACAGGCAGAGCCGGGACAGCGGAGCCCCCAGCGAGCTGTACCTTGGGATCAGGGTTCCAGGAGGGAGACGGTAGGGGGAGGTGTAGATGGGGGGCAAGGCCTAGGAGAAAGTGAAATGCACTGGGAAGTGTCTGCCCCGCCACACCTGCCCTGGGCTGATGGGGTGCCAGGACAAGTGTTTCCAGGTCATAGGGGAAGGGTGAAAGTGTTTAAGGAAGCAGTGGCTGTTGCAGCTCATTGTCACGAGTCTGTCTCATCAGACATGATGCGTGATGGCTTAGACAGTAGGTCCTGCCTCTGCGAAAGAAGCAGGCCCTGGTCCCCCATTCTCTTACGAAAGCTTTTATCGATTGGGGTAGAGTTGGGCCACACCTGGTGGTGCTGGTGACTCCTCCCAGCTTTGTGGTCAGGGGCTGCTGTGGTGCCAGGAATCGAATCAGGGTCACCCAAATGCAAGGCAATCGGGCACCTTACCAGGACTGTCTCTCCCACCTTATGAACACATTTATTTGTTTAGGGGCCACACCCAGCAGTGCTCAGGACTTACCCAGCTCTGCTCAGAGGATCATATGGGGTGCTGGGAACCAAACCAGGTCCACCGTGAGCAAGGGAAGCATCCTTCCCGTGTTCTCTCTCTCTCTAGTCCCCATAAACACTTTTATTTTTATTTTATTTATTTATTTTTGCTTTTTGGGTCACACCTGGCGATGCACAGGGGTTACTCCTGGCTCTGCACTCAGGAATTACTCCAGGTGGTGCTCGGGGGACCATACGGGATGCTGGGAATCAAGCATCTGCATTTATTTGCTGACATTGCAGCCGATTGCCTTTGCTTTCTCCTCTTTTACTTGAAGGCTACTCCTGTCTCAGTGCTCAGGGGACCCAGTGTAGTGCTGGGCACTAATCCAGGCCCCTTACATGCAAGACATATGCTCTGCCCATTTTACTATTTCTCCTGCTCGACTTTTCTCCTGACTGGCTTTTCTAACCGTCTCTCCATATGTTTTTTTGGTGGGGTTGGGGGCCATCTACATTGCAAGCAACATGACCCTGGTGCCCCAAATTTTCATCGGCATCCACAGTCAGATTCGAGAAACTAGAGAGGCCAGAAGGATTTTTCCAGGATTTGGAGTGTGTGCTTGGCCTGTGGAAGTCTCAGGCTCAGGGCTCAGCATTCCGCGGGCTCCTGGACACCGAGCCAAGAGGAGCCCCTCTCGCCGACCTCTGCTGTAGGTGGCAAGCGAAGTGACTTAGAGGCTGAGCTCCTGTCTTGCTTTGTGAAGCCCTGGGTCTGATTCCCTGAACCACGAGAAAAATAAAGTGACTTAGGGCAAAGAGACAGCTTGGCACTGGGGTGCTATTTTCGGGTGGGGGAGACCCAGTTCCACCCCCAGCACCACACAGTCCACCGAGCACCACCAGGTAGGAACCCTGAACACCACCCCCAAGTCAAAATAATGTATAAGAAGAGAGTCTGACTGCCATAGAGGCAGGGTAAGAACTGAGATGAAATGGAGGAGATAACGGGGAGATTGGTGGTGGAAAGTTTGCACTGGTGGAGGGATGGGTGATCGATCGTTGTATAGTGAATATCGAACATGAAAGCTTTGTAACTGTGTCTCACGGTGGCTCAATTAAAAAAAATTAAAAATAAATAAATAAAGAGAGAGGCTGAAGCCCCTGGGAGGATGTAAACAAACATTGAACAGGGGATTTGCTCTCAGAAATCTGGCTGAAGGGACTGGAAAGGTGGAGCAGTGGGTAGGGAGCTTGCCTTGCATGCAGCTGACCTGGTTTCGATCCCTGATACCACACCTGTACCCCAGGAGTGAGTGACCCCTGACCACAGAGCCACCACCAAGTCTGACAACCCTCCCCTCCCCAACCAGTACACACAAAGCTCTAGGGAGATAGTACAGCAGGGAAGGCTGTGCACGTAGCTGACCCGGATTCTATGCCTGGCACCTCACACAGCCCCCAGAGCTCTGACAGGGTTGATCCCTGAGTGCAGAGCCAGGAGAAAACCCAGAGCACCACCAGGTATGTCCCCCACTGCCCCCCATGAAAAAAAGGAGAAAAAAAAGAGCAGGGGGCTGGAGCAGCACAGTGGGTAGGGCGTTTGCCTTGCACACGGCCAGTTTGCCCGACCCGGGTTCGATTCCCATCATCCCATATGGTCCCCCGAGCACCACCAGGAGTGATTCCTGAGTGCAAAGCCAGGAGTCACCCCTGAGCATCGCCGGGTGTGACCCAAAGAGGAAAGAAAAAAGAAAAAAAGAAAAAGAGCAATAGTACAGCAGGTGGGGCACTTGCCTGGAATGGGCCTGGCCTGGGGTTGATCTCCGGCACCTCTAGGTCCCCCATGCCCCGCCAGGAGTGAGCCCTCGGCACAGAACCAGGATGAAGTCCTGAGTACTGCTGTGTGTGACACAAAAACAAAAAAAGAAAGTAAAGGAAAAAAACAAAGCAATCTGACTGGAAGGCAGAGGGGGAGTCCCTGAGAGAGGGGGTAGGTCAGGGGCCACTTGCTGTGATGGCTTCTTGCGTAGGGGGCAGGGGGAGGAACCCACTGAGCTTCCCTGCCCCCATGGCCATTTGAGTTGTTGCTCTGGTTGGGAGTACCAAGTACAGGTTCAAGTGCTGCAGCAGGAGTGGGCGAGGCGGGGGCTTAGGGCCAGGGAGATGGGTTAGGAGGGTGGAGCATGGCACCACATCTTGGGGAGATATGGGCCTTTTGGGGGGCCTTTCACTTCCTGGGAGAGCAGGGTAGGGCTGGAGGAGAATCAGAGGTGGTGGGGTGCAGGGTGCAGAGGGGGCAAAGGTCAGGGCTGTGGGGGAGCGCCAGGCTGAGGGGGCCAGGCCAGGCAGGAGGGACACAGGGAAAGGCTGAGAGGGCTGGGAGATGCCCCCCCCCCGCCCCGCTGGCAGTGACCCCCAGCACAGGACCCAGCACCCACGTGAGGATTCTGGGGTTGGCTTGGCGCTTGGCCTCTGAGCGTCAGAGAAACCAGAGCCTTGGGCCGCCCGCGGGTCTGGTTACACCGGCCAAGCTCTGTCCACCAGCCCAGTTGTCCCAAGCGCCTCAGGCCCATGCAGCGGTTCCTGCAGCTCCCGGGGCCCCGAGGGGCTGGAGGTGCAGACTCTGAGGCCGCCAGCCCTGTGCTGGCCCCCGAAGATGGGCCCCCGCCCTGGTACCAGGCCCTCCAGCCCGAGGAGCTTCGGAGGCTGCAACCCCCTGAGGAAGAAGTGGCCCCCGAATCACCCCTGGACGGAGCAAGCCCGGAGTCCGGGCAAGGCCAGAGCCAGCCCCTGCGGTACTGAGGGACTCGGGGGGGCCCCCGGAGGGTCAGGCTGGGCAGGCTCCCCTCACTGACCTGCATTGGAGACCGGCCAGCATGTGGGGTGTTGGGCAGGGGGTCCTGAGTGTGAGCAGTCCATGTGCTGAGGCTGGGGGGCCAGGCCGAGAAGGCACATAGGCCAGTCCTGGAGTGAGGCAAGGTCTCTGCACCCCTGGAGAGCTCCTGCTGGCTGAGGGTCAGGTCAGAAGGCGCCTGTAAGGGGATCTCTGGAGGAGATTCTGTTTCATGGGAGCTGCAGGAGGGGCCCACGCTCTCCTCCCCTGGGGCAGCGGCATGTGTATGGGCCCTCCCGCTGGCTCACCCCATGCCCTGTCCTCCCTGAGGCAGGCTGGAGGCTTCACATGGGCTTGTGGCATGTGTGGGTGCAGCAGCACACCCAGGTGTGAAGGCGTCAGCTTCAAGGGGCCCAAAGCCACCCCACTGTGGTGAGCTACCCCAGGGCAGGCCAGGGTGCACCCACTGACCTCTTGGCCCCCCCAGGCACGATGACCTGAAGGAGATGCTGGACAGCAACAAGGACTCCCTGAAGCTGGAGGCCATGAAGCGGATCGTGGCGGTGAGGGGGGGGGGCGGAGGGCGGGACCCAGGGTTGCCCCCCCCATCCTGTATGTTCCTGATCTGCAGCTCCTCCCTATCACTGCCCCAGATGATCGCCCGGGGGAAGAATGCCTCAGACCTGTTCCCTGCCGTGGTCAAGAATGTGGCCTGCAAGAACATTGAGGTGAGGCCCCCGGCCTGGTGTGGGCGGGCAAGGCCTGGCTGACTCTGCCTGGGAGACCGCCCGAGCACTGGATGCTGAGCCGGACCCACTCTGGCAGGTGAAGAAGCTCGTCTATGTGTACCTGGTGCGCTACGCCGAGGAGCAGCAGGACCTGGCCCTGCTGTCCATCTCCACCTTCCAGCGTGGCCTCAAGGTCTGGGTCAGGGGACGAGGGCCTCCCACTGTCCCATCCCTGCTGAGTTTAGACAGGACTGCCACCCTCAGCCGGGCAGAGGTTGGGGTTCTGGGCATGGAGGGCCACCTGCAGGTCGGTGCCCCTCAGCCGCACCTACTCCCCGGCAGAGCGACCAGGACGAGCGGAAAAGGCCCCTTGAAAACCAGGCAGGGGCTGATAATGAAGGCCGAGGTGCTCGCTCTGCACACAGCCAACCCCGATTTGGATATCCCGCCCCACAGAGGATCCCCTGAGCCCTGCCAAGAGTGACCCCTGAGCACTTCTGGGTGTGACCAAAAAGCAAAAGAAAAAGCAAAACCAGTCATGCTGCCCCCCTTTGCCCACCAGTCTGGGCTGGGGGCTGGGATGGCGAGGGGGTAGCGGTCTCTTCATTGCCACCTCCTCCTCAGGACCCCAACCAGCTGATCCGTGCCAGTGCCCTGCGTGTGCTGTCCAGCGTACGGGTGCCCATCATCGTGCCCATCATGATGCTGGCCATCAAGGAGGCAGCCTCAGACATGTCACCGTATGTGCGCAAGACAGCTGCACACGCCATCCCCAAACTGTACAGGTGTGACCTCCCTGGCCCTCCAGCTGTGTTCAGCCCCTGAGCCTGCCCCCCAGCCCCCCAGACTGCCCTGGCATCCCCCATTCAGTAGGAGGGTTGCCATAGTTTTGGGGACCCCACGGAGGAGGAGGGGGCTGCCCTATCCGGGACAGGGTGGCTGTGGGCGCTTTGCAGAGGATGGAGGCATGGGGGAGGGGAAGCCACCTCAAAGCGCCTCCCACAGCTTGGACTCAGACCAGAAGGACCAGCTGATAGAGGTCATCGAGAAGCTGCTGGCCGACAAAACCACGGTGCGTGGTGGTGGTGGCGCGTGGGTGGGCGCCCGGGGCTGGGGGCTGGTGTCCGCGGTCCCCTGCTCACGCCCGTGTCAGCTGGTAGCGGGCAGCGTGGTGATGGCCTTCGAGGAGGTGTGCCCGGAGCGCATCGACCTGATTCACAAGAACTACCGGAAACTCTGCAACCTGCTCATCGACGTGGAGGAGTGGGGTCAGGTGGTCATCATCAGCATGCTGACCCGCTACGCGCGCACGCAGTTCCTCAGCCCCACGCAGAATGTGAGTGGCCCCTGGCCCGGCGGTGCGCCGGCACCCGCCCCGGAGGAGCCCACCGCCCACCCGGGCCCTCTCCCGCAGGAGTCTCTGCTGGAGGAGAACCCCGAGAAGGCCTTCTACGGCTCGGAGGAGGACGAGGCCAAGGGCCCCGGCTCGGAGGAGGCCCCCGCCGCGGCGCTGCCCGCCCGCAAGCCCTACGTCATGGACCCCGACCACCGCCTGCTGCTGCGCAACACCAAGCCGCTGCTGCAGAGCCGCAGCGCCGCCGTGGTCATGGCCGTGGCGCAGCTCTACTTCCACCTGGCGCCCAAGGCCGAGGTGGGCGTCATCGCCAAGGCGCTCGTGCGCCTGCTGCGGAGCCACAGGTACCGGCCTGGCCTGGCCGCGCTGCCCCCGGGTGCCCCGCCCCAGATGGCCTGTCCCGCGAGGCCCCGCCCCGGAGGACCCCGCGGTCCGCCCTGATGTCCCACCTTAGGCTCCGGGTGGCCTGGGGCAGTGCCAGGGGCAGTCCCTGCCGTGCCTGGGGCAGTCCCCACCCGCTACCCTGACACCTTCCTGGCCCCGCCCCATTCGTTTACCCTGCCCACAGGGTATGTTGGCCTCACCCACACCCCTAGGTATCTCCGGGCCCCTGGGCACTGTCAGGCCCCGCCTTCCCGCCCTAGCCCGCCTCTCCGCTCCCTCTGGGCCTGCCCCCTCTCCTGGGGTCCTCCTCCCACTCCAGCCCCAGAGGGGGCGTAGGCCCGTCTGACCCCGCCTCTCCGCAGCGAGGTGCAGTACGTGGTGCTCCAGAACGTGGCCACCATGTCCATCAAGCGCCGGGTGCGTCTGTGTTCAGGGGTAGGGGCACGGAGGGGGTACGCTGAAGATGGGCAGAGAACCAGGCCTGGCTCCTGAGGAGCCCCCGAAGGAGGGGAGCAAGGGAAGGCAGTCTGGGGGAGGAGGGTGGAGGAGAGGACTGACTAGGGAGGAGGATGGGCGGGGTAGACTGAGGGAGGAGCCTCGCGGAGGGTTGAAGGAGGAGGAGGATGGCAAAGGGTAGAGGGAGGGGGAGGTGGCCGAGGTGAGTGGGTGCAGCGCTGGAGCTTCTGGGTCCCCTCTGCAGGGCATGTTCGAGCCCTACCTGAAGAGCTTCTATATAAGGTCCACGGATCCCACCCAGATCAAGATTCTGAAGGTAAGGCCCCCCACCTGCAGGGGTCCCGCCCCTCCCACCTGATACCCTCATTCCTCCACCAGCCAAAGTCTTGGCACCCCAGTCACACGGGAGCCTAATGGATCAGTGCCCGGGCCAGGCTTCAAGGCCTTGCGGTCTCAGCCGTGCCAGAGGGGCTGGGGACTGGCAGCGTAAGGAACCCAGAGACTCAGCGCCACTGTGTCCCCCCACAGCTGGAGGTCCTCACCAACCTGGCCAACGAGGGCAACATCCCCACAGTCCTGCGTGAGTTCCAGGTATGCCAGTGACTGTTGTGCCCTGGGCCTGACTCTTGGCTTTGGGCTGGGGGTTCCCCAGTTGTGGAGCCTGGCACCACATGTCCTGGGGGTTCACCCCTATCCTGGCAGTTGCTGGGTGGGCCCCCTCAGCCACGCTGTCCTGCAGACCTACATCCGCAGCATGGACAAGGACTTCGTGGCCGCCACCATCCAGGCCATCGGGCGCTGCGCCACCAACATCGGCCGAGTCCGTGACACCTGCCTCAACGGGCTGGTGCAGCTGCTGTCCAACCGTGACGGTACGTGTGCAGCCCTGGGGCGACCAGCGGGGGGCTGGGGGGTTGGGGGCTTCTGATGGAGCAGTGCGCCCTCCGCCCTGCAGAGCTCGTGGTGGCTGAGTCTGTGGTGGTGATTAAGAAGCTGCTGCAGATGCAGCCGGCACAGCATGGCGAGATCATCAAGCACCTGGCCAAGCTCACTGACAACATCCAGGTGAGGCATCCTGCTGCTCCTGCCACCGCTGCAGGATAGAGCGCTTGAGGGAGGGAGGGAGGGGTCCTGGGCCCTGGCTGGCTTCCAAGGACTCTCCCAGCAGAGGGAGCTCTCCCGAGCTCCTGTCCTCCCCCAACTCTGGCCGGAAGGGACCAGAGGACCAGCCCTGGGGTTTCTCTGTGGCACCACCAGTGGAAAACTCAAAAGTAGATTTCTGGAAGGCTCGGCAAGGACGAAGCAGTAAAGTATTGGGAGGGCGAGTGGAGGGCCCCAGCCTGAAGCCTGCGCCCTGGATCAGGAACCCTCTGGGGAGAGGAGGTGCTGCCCAGGAAAGGTCACCCTTTGATCTCCCCCCTCCACTCCCCAGAGACCCCAGAATAGGCCCACACAGGGAGAAGCCCACCTGTCCCACCCACTCCCTCACCCCAAGTGCCCGTAGCCCACCCCCATGGCTCTCTGGCAACCCCCAGGTACCCATGGCCCGTGCCAGCATCCTGTGGCTCATTGGCGAGTACTGTGAGCACGTGCCCAGCATCGCCCCCGATGTGCTGCGCAAGATGGCCAAGTCCTTCACGGCTGAGGAGGACATCGTTAAGCTGCAGACTATCAACCTGGCCGCCAAGCTGTACCTCACCAATTCGAAGCAGGTAGCAGGGCCCACTGGACACTGTCTCCAGGCCCGGCCAGGGTTCCCCAGGACTGGCAGTGTGTGTGGGGATCCCCAGGGTCTCCCCTGGACCTTTGGAGCCTGGGTCTGTGAAGAGGGTCCCTGCAGACTACCAGCAAGGGGCAACACCTCACACCGGTCACTGGGTGAGGACTGTCCCCACTGCCCCCTCTGCCCACCATGTCCCACAGGGCTGGCCGAGCAGGCCTATCCAAGGCCTTCTCTGGGCGGGGATGGGCGTTGCAGACCAGGCTGCGGGGGCAAGGTGGATGGCCCCGTCCCTCCTTCGGTCATTTCTGAGCTTGCAGATGAGGCTGAAGGACAGCCCCTGAACAGCCCCTTCAGAGCCCCACAGGACAATGGGGCAGAATCAGGAGGTGTGGACTGGTGGGTGGGTTCAGTGGAAGCTGACAGAAAGTGTGGGGTGGGATCCGTGTGGGCAACACTGGAGCTGGAGGGGCACCTGCGCTGGGACGTGAAGGCCTGACCACCACGGGGCAAGGCCTAGAAACTGGTATCACAGAATGTTCCAGAGCTCCAAGACCCTGGGCCCCAGAGAAAAGATTTTTCTGGACACAATGGGGTAGGAGCCAGGCTCACAGACCCCACACAGGGAATCAGGGCCAGAGGGGCCAAAGTCCAAAGGGGCAAGCCTTCCGCCACCCCAGGCAGGATTCAGCATTGGGTCTGAGGAGTTGGAGTCAGGAAGGAGTTGGAGGCATGGGGAGGACCTAGGCTGCGTGCGCCCTGAGCTCCCCCCCCCCCCCCGCCACACCTGCTGTCCCACAGACCAAGCTGCTGACACAGTATGTTCTGAGTCTGGCCAAGTACGACCAGAACTACGACATCCGCGACCGCGCTCGCTTCACACGCCAGCTCATCGTGCCCACGGAACAGGGTGGCACGCTCAGCCGCCACGCCAAGAAGCTCTTTCTGGCTCCCAAGCCCGCCCCCGTGCTGGAGTCATCCTTCAAAGGTGGGCTGAGGCCCTGCACCCCCACACGGTGCTGCCAGAGTGAGGCCAGTTGCAGGGCTTGGAGGGGGAGCCCCCTGGAGCCCCCCACACTGAGGCTGCCTTGGGGGAGGAGGGGGCGCTCCAGTGGCCCCTAACCCAGCAGCTTTGGGCTCCTGCCATCTGTTCTCCCCACCTCGGGGGCTTCCCCTTCCACACCATTTCCCTGTCTGAACTCCTGGCTGTCCCCTTTGGACCTGACTGTTCCCCTTCCCATGGGGCCCGAGCCCCTCGGCCCAGCTGCCTGGGCACCAGCCTCCTTGGACAGCTGCCTAGCTGTGCCGTGGCCCCCCCAAGAGAAACCCCCGCCTGCTGCCGCCCCTCCCCAGTCTGCAGGTGGGGCAGCTGCCCCCTCAGCCCTGCACTGTCTGTGGTTGTCATCAGGGCAGACATGCCTTGGGGAGGGGGTGCTCCAGGCCCAAAGCTGCCCCCAGGAGTGCGCACCAGCTTGACCCCAGCCTTTCCCCAGACCGCGACCATTTCCAGCTGGGGTCACTTTCTCACCTGCTCAACGCCAAGGCCACAGGCTACCAGGAGCTGCCAGACTGGCCCGAGGAAGCCCCTGACCCATCTGTGCGCAATGTGGAGGTGAGGGGAGTGGGGGGGCTGTGGGGCTGGGGGCTGGGGTGGGGAGCCCCACTGACCAACCCCTGCATGCAGGAAGAAGACCTCTCCTTAATCGCAACAGACGTGGGCCTGCTGGGCACGCATACCCAGGTGCCCGTGTGCTGTGTGGCCTTGCCTGCCTGCCTGCCTGTCCCTCCCACCCCACAGTGAGGATGGAGGGACAGACATCCCCTTCTCCCTGCAGGTCCCCGAGTGGACCAAGTGCTCCAGCCGGGAGAAGCGGAAGGAGAAGGAGCGGCCCTTCTACTCGGATTCAGAGGGGGAGTCGGGCCCCACAGAGTCTGCAGACAGTGGTGAGGGGGGGTCCCAGGGTGGCCCATCGTGGGGGGCAGCTCTGAAGGGAGGTGACTGAGCTCATCCTCCCTAGAGCCTGAGTCCGAGAGTGAGTCGGACAGCAAGAGCGGCAGTGAGAGCGAGTCCGAGGACTCAAGCAGCGAGTCAGGGAAGGAGGACGAAGATGAGAAGGATAGCAGCGAGAGGTGAGCAGGTGTCCGGGGACCCCAGGGAGATGCCCACGGGGGCCCTGCTGGCACCTGGCCTGAGCCCCCACCCCTGCAGCCAGCAGAGTGAGGAGGAAGGAGGGACGAGGAAGAAGACAGCCCCTGGGCGGGGAGCCAGCTCTGAGCCATCGTCAGAAGGGGGCAGTGGCACCAGCAGCAGCTCGTCCGGGTCCGAGATGAGCTCCGAGTCTGAGGAGGAGCCTGCCTGGAGGAAGAAGTCTGTGAGTGCCAGTGTGGGCATCCTGAGGCATAGGGGCACTCCCAGATGCCCAGGCACTCATCCCCCACACCCATCTCTTTTAGTCCCTCAGCGGCAAAAGGACTCCTGCAGCCAAGGAGATGTCCCTGTTAGACCTGGAGGATTGTGAGTTGAGGGGAAGCTGGGGCTCAGGGTGGGGGTTGGACCTGGGGGACTGTGAATCAGGGGCATGAGGAGGGGGGTTGGGAGATGGCTGACCTGAGAGATTGAGGCGACCCAGGGCCCTAGGAGGGAACTGGAGCCCCGCTGGCTGCTGTCCGTGGTGCTGAAACAGCCAACCCAGGGACTCTGTGCCCAGTTTCAGCGCCCAGTGTTCAGCCCGTGTCCCCGCCTGCGGCCGTGTCCAGCAGCCTGGCCGCCGACCTAGAGGGCCTGACCCTCACGGACTCCCCGTTGGTGCCCTCGGTGAGTGGACGCGGTTGTCACTGGGGGCCTGTGGAACTCATAGAGAGGACAACTTTGGGAGGTTCAAGCAGTGCTCAGTGGGTCATGTCCAGCCAGCGGAGTTGGGTGTTTAGTGCCTCGATGTGGCATTGTAGATCTGTTGGATCAGAGAGTATGGGGGGGGGTGCAGTGCCAAGACTGTCAGCACCCCTGACCCCTGAGGTCTCCCAGCCCCACAGGGGGTGGCTTTGATCCTGCCTTGAAGCCAGTGGGGGCGGAGACCATGTCAGCCTGTGTCCTGGGGCACACACTGGGTCATCTGTACCCTGGGGGCACAGGCCAGGCCAGTCTGTTGGGGAGGGGGTACGGGCTGGGTTGGTCTGTGTCCTGGGGACACAGGCCAGGTAGGTATGTGGGGGGGGTAGACACTGGGTTGGTCTCTGTCCTGGGGGCACAGGCGGTCAATCTGTGGAGGGGTGGGCACAGGCCAGGTCAGTCTATATGTTGTGTGTGTGGGGGGGGTACAGGCTGGGTCAGTCTGTGTCTTGGGGGGTGCAGGCTGGGTCTGCCCTGTCCTGCTCGTTGTCATTCTTCTGCCCTCCTCCCCCAGGTGCTGAGCCCAGTGTCAGCCGCACCCAGGCAGGAGCTGCTGCACCGCGTGGCGGGTGAGGGCCTGGCCGTGGACTACTCCTTCAGTCGCCAGCCCTTCCCTGGGGACCCACACATGGTGTCTGTGCTCGTCCACTTCTCCAACAGCTCGGACACCCCCATCAAAGGCCTGCATGTGGGCACCCCCAAACTGCCTGCTGGCATCAGCATCCAGAAATTCCCGGAAATCGGTGCGAAGGGCTCTGGGAAAGGGAACTGATGCGCTTTGGCACAGGGAGGACTGGCCCTTGGGGGCAGGGTGGGGGTTCTGATAGCAGCAGTGAGTTGTCATGGTTCCCAGAGACACTGCAAGGTCCATAGTGTTCCCTCCTGCCTTTGCAGAGAGCCTGGCCCCTGGAGAAGCCACCACAGCAGTCATGGGCATTAACTTCTGCGACTCCACCCAGGCCGCCAACTTCCAGCTGTGGTACGCGGTGCCTGTGGCATGCTGGGAGCAGGTGGGGGTGGCGATCCCCAGCTGCCTGGCATAGGGAGTAAGGTCTGGGGCCTGACTTCCTGCCCCTGCGGCCCCCAGCACCCAGACCCGGCAGTTCTACGTGTCCATTCAGCCGCCTGTTGGGGAGCTGATGGCCCCTGTGTTCCTGAGTGAGAACGAGTTCAAGAAGGAGCAGGGTGAGTGCCCCCATCCCTGCCCCTGGGCTCATGGTCTCACCCTGCAATTCTCCATAAGGACTGACCCTGTAGGCGACCGGATGGAAGGGTCTGGCCAGCATCCTGGCTTAGGAAAACACCATAGGCCCGGTGAGGTGAAAGGTCACAGGAGAGATGGGGCCAGGTGGAGCTGGGGTGATGCCCTGGTTTCAATTCCTGAATATAGAGCTAGGAATAACTCCTGGGCATCACCCAGTGCGGCCCCCTTCCCAAAAGAAGAGCCTACCCCCCAGGTTTTGTCCACAACACCCAGAGAGAGAAGACAGGCCGAGCTGGGCCGCAGCTCCATGGCTGGCACATGTCCAGCCCTTGGCTTGAACCCACCCCGCAGAAAGGAAAGAGTGGGGAGCTGTTTGGTTTGGGGCAGAGGACCTTGTCAAGTACAGGGAGTGGAGGAACGAAGCACAGATGGGATGTCAGGTTTGGGGCTGGCACAGCTTGGCAGGTGGGGTGCATGCTTCCCCTGCGCTGCAGGAAGGACCCCTGAGGCGCTCCAAGTGGGGCTCAAAGGAGGTTCGGTGCCATTGTTGGTGCTATCCTGAACACGAGCGCCTAGGCCACGTGGTCAGCACCATGGACAGAGCTAAGCCACCCACTGGCCTGCAGGAGAACCTCTTTCCAGATTGCGCCCCAAGAACTGGGCCCTACCTCCCCTCCTCTGGTCCCCCAGGCCAGCTGACTGGCATGAATGAGATCACTGAGAAGCTCACGCTGTCCGAAGCCTGTCGGAGTGACCACACCGTGGTGCAGAAGGTCACGGCCACAGCCAACCTGGGGCGTGTCCCCTGTGGGACTGCAGATGAGTACAGGTGCTGCAGGGACCCTGCCCCTGGGAGGTGAGGGGAGCTCAGGGCTTCCCAGGACTGAGCCCTCCCCTCCCCCAGGTTTGCAGGGAGGACGCTGACCAGTGGGAGTCTGGTCCTGCTCACCCTGGACTCCCGGCCTGCGGGAGCCGCACTGCTGACTGTCAACAGTGAGAAGATGGTGATTGGCACCATGCTGGTGAAGGACGTGGTGCAGGCGCTGAGCCGGTGACCGTGTCTTTCCTCGCTCCCTGTAGAGGCAGGTGGCAGCCGCCCCCTTCTGCCACCCACCCCCTAGCTCCCCATGGTTGTTTACGCCGAGTGATTTCAATAAAGCGTCTCCTCCCTCTCATCCCTCAGGCTGCCTCTCCTCCATCTTCCTATCCTCTGGACTCTGCGTGAGGGGGCTGGAGAAATGCAGGGACAACTCTGACACAGCACCCTCCCTTTAAGTTTGGGGTGCCTCTAGTGATTGAGCCCTTGGCGAGCACTGCAGATGAGAGCCCACAGGAACCATGGCCAGCTCCCTGGGGGACCGTGGCAAAGGAACACAGCTGAAATGTGGGACAACTGGTCCCCAGTTTGGAATAGCTGCAGCAAAGCGGGCAGGGAAGGGGCGTCGGGAGAACAGCCTGGCATGGAAGCAGTCCAACACTGGCAGAGTGTAAACAGAACATAGGCTGGACACACAAAGACCAAACGGGCTGAGCTGCTGCTGTGGGTGCCCGCAGGGGCTCAGAGATGGCTGGGTGTGCCCGTCTGTCACTACTTGGTTCTGCCTGAGTCCCGGAGCAGGCATTTTCTGCTGCTCATTGGCCGCTTCCACCTCTGTGCCTGCCTGAATTTCTGTGGGCATTCTTGGTCTCCCTCACTGACTGTAGGTGATTTTCAGAAGGTGGTGCTTGGGGGCCCCTGCAGGGTGGGGGATCATGTGAGGCTCCTGGATGTGAAGCCAGAGCTCTCACCCTTCAGGCGCCTCCTCGGCCTCCCACCTGATGCATCGTGTCTCAGAAACTGATCTTCCTGCATGTACCATAGTGATGGAAGCTTCATCTGGCCTGTTGTTTCCCTTTCCAAGTTTTCAAACTTCTGGTAATTGGGGAACCAGAGAGATAGTACATGGCACTTGCCGAGCACATGGCTGATCTGGGTTTGATTCCTGGCACATGGTTCCCCAAGCCCTCCAGGAGTGATCCCTAAATGCAGAACCAGGAGTCAGACCTGAGCTTTGCTGGGGGCAGGACTCTCTCCAAAAATAAGTTTTTCAAAATAAGATGGGGGAGGGGGAGGGACACCCAGCCGCAGAGCTTGCCATGGGCCAGGTCTGCAGGTCACCCAGAGGTACAGGGCACAGGACCTCTGAGTCAGGGCATCTCCCAGGTTGGGGTTTAGTCTGAGGCCCAGAACTGCTCCCTGACTCCCATCTGTGAGAGTCCGTTTCCCACAGGGGAAAACTCTTAGGTTGGACCTTACCAGCAAGGAGGGCCCTGCTGACAGGAGAGGGGGTGTGCAGCCCCCACCCCTGGAGTTTCTGATGCCTGGGAGGCTGGCGGGTGTAGAAACTGCCCTACCTGCTCACTGGGGCCACGTGTTTCTGATCTTGCTCCCCTTGGATTCTGGGAGGAGGGAACCAGTGAGGCATGTGGCCCCTGCACACGGCCACCTCTGGCTCTTAGTTTTGGTTTGGATACTGTGCCCAGCAGTTCCCAGGACTCACTCCTGACAGGCTGTAACCCAAGTACTGCCTCTCCAGCCCCTTGACTCTATTCAATCAGCACGTTTGAGGGCTGGAGAAATGAATAGGGGTGAAGCCGCTTGCCTTGTATGCTGCTAACTCTGCTTCACTCCATCCAAGTGTGTCCCCCCCCCCACACACACAAAAACCTCACTAAGTAATAAATCAGTGATCCCAGACTTAAAATTAGGGGACTGTCACATCCAAACAATTTGCATCCCATCCAGGAAAACTTGGTGGACCTGAGACCTCGTTCCTGCGAGGTAACTCTTCAGCTAATGGTCCCTTTCATGCTTCCAACAAAAGCTTGCTTCATCATGGTTTTCAAAGGCAGGGGCTACAGCTTTATGGCTCCACACATAGGTGATGTGTGTGGACACCATCCGCATCCGCATTGCTAGAACCTTCCATTCACTACTCCCACCCCTTCCCCTTGCCTTGCATTTTCCGGGAGCTTTGGAAGCTACCCTCCCCCGCCCCAGAATCCTGTATGCACCCCCAGAGGACAGGCAAGGTTGCTCCCTCGGGACACCACACACGCTGTTGAGGGCCAGAGCTTCTGCGGGGGTCGCAAGAGGCCGAAGCAAGAGGGGCAGTGTCCCCGGGTCACAGCTGGACTGCCCCCGCCCCGCCCCGCCCACTCCTCATAGGCCCCGAGCTTGCTCTCGCTGTGGCCCTTAGTGTGGCCGAGCTCCCAGGAACGACAGCCCTGGGGGCCCCGGCGCCTCGGCCCCTCTCGGACCCGAAGGCGCATCTAGGGGGTCTGCGGACCGCCCGGAGCCCCTGCCCGCCCCGCCCCTGCCCGGGCCCCCACGCCCTGCTGCGGTCCTTGGAACATTCCCGAACACACAGAACCCGTGGGGTGGGCGCCTGCCCGGACGGGGCTGGGGGGGGGGGGACCCGGCGGCCTTGCCAGGGCCACAAGCCCACGGCCACTTCCTCCGGGGGACCACCGAGGCGGGCCGGGCCGCCCCGAGCCAACGGGCGCGCGCAGCCCCGCCCCACGCAGCCAGGGGGCGTGGCCTCGTGCCGGCCCGGGATGCGGCGCCGCCTCGTGCCGCAGCACGTTCCCCTCCTCGGCGCCGCACGTGAGGCCTCCGGGCGGAGGTGCGGCGCCTTTAAGGCGGAGGGATCGGGGTCCTCGAGCACGCCTCGGCCCGGTCACGTGGCTTCACACGTCCGCCGCGCGCGGGGCGCTCGCTGCCGGGCGGGCGGCGGGCACGTGCGCGCAGAGGCCCCGAGGACGCGGCTCCCGCGAGGTGGGTCTGGGGCGCCCCGGACCTGGACGCCCGCCCCCCGCCCCCCGCCCCGTGCTGTGCTCTGGGCGCCATGCTCGGGGATGGAACTCGGGTCGGGGGTGGGGGGCACCAGCAGACCCGCGCCCCGGGAGCGCTGTTCTGGGCTCGGCGGGGTCCCGGGGCCGTCCCCAGGTGACCTGTCCGGAACGGGGTGCCCGCGCCGGTGGGGGGGACGCCTGGCTGCAGCTGGGCCGGCGGGTTTTGTCTGTTTTCCCGAGTAGCGATTGGAGAGAGAGCGAGAGACGCCGGCCAGAGGCAGGGGGCTGGCGGGGGTCGCCTGCAAGCCCGCGGTGGGGGGCGCCGAGCCTGGGAGTGGCCCCCGTGCACCCGATGAGGCTTTGAGGACCCCCCTTTTCCCGGTGAAGGGCCAGCCGAGGACTCGTCTCCGGTTCCCCCGGGTGGCAGGCTAGAGCTGCCTCCACCAATATTCCTTTTTCCCCCTCTTCTTCGGTAGGGCGTTTGCCTGGCACGCAGCTGACCCAGGTTCGGTGCCCCGAGGCCCGCCAGGAGTGACCCCTGGGTGCAGAGGCCGGAGTCGGCCCCGAGCATCGCCGGGCGTGGCCCCGAACGAACGCGATCGATCGTGCCTTGCCCGGGGATGCTCTGTGGGCTCGTGTCCCAGGGGAGCGGGGCCAGGTGTGGGCGCTCGGCCGGCGGGGCCAGGTGTGGGCACTCGGCACGCGAAGGAGGCCGGGGGAGGGGGCCCGGCGTCTGTGCTGAGGCTGTTCACCTGGGCCTGGGGAGGTCAGGCAGAGGCGGCAACTTCCAACTCTTCTTATGTACTTCCAGGGCAGCCCCTAAGAGAGACACTGCCCTGGCCGGAATGCTGGTGAGTGGGGAGCACTGGGAAGGCCAGCGGTCTTGAGCAGCGCCCCTGCTATTATGTTTTGTGGGTTTGGGCCTCGCCCAGCAGTGCTCAGGGATCACTCCTGGCCTACGTGGTGCTGGGGATCCCACCTGCCTAGCATCCTCGTGCTCTCTCGGGCTCTCGTTGTTTTCCGCGTTGTGGTGGGGGTGGAGGCAGGTAGGCTCCTGAGGCTGGGGTGGAGGAGGCGGAGGGGAGAGGACTCCTGGTGACTTGAGCCCTTGCTCCTGCCTCCACAGCCCCACCTCGCAGCTCTGGGATTGTCCCGCCCGGTGTTGGTCGGCCTGCCTTGAGAGCGAGTCCTCTTCTGTACAGAGATTCCACGTGTTGAAATTTTAGGTGTGAGATCAGATCCCAAAACAGGGCACTTCTCAGCAGACGTGGCTTTGGGAAATACTGAACTGAAAGGGACATTGTATATGCAGTAGGTCGTTCTTTTCATATAAGTCCTCGTACCTACTGTAATGGTAATTTTTACAGTATAGATGCCATTTTCTGCGAGTTTTGTTGGTATTTTAGAAAACTGTTAGACGTTATTGTGTCTCTTTATTACGTAACATAGGAGTATTTGGATAAATAATAGCCAGGGGAGGCGGGGGAGAGTTCCTGAGGGTTTGAGTTGTTTCCTGCAGTTCAGAAGAACACTTTGATGGGAAGGGGCCTTAAATTCTACTGAGGCTTTGTTCCATGTGTTTGCCGATGGTTGAAGCACCCTCTTTTAGATTAAAGTCAGCTAACTTTCTCTATTTTTCAAGGCTTTTTGTGATGACTTTCCTTGAAGTAATTGGAGAATTCCCATAGGGCAGGTCTACAGATTGATTTGTGCTTAAAATGGGCCACAGTTGCCTGTAGCTGTGGACAGTGGGAGGGACCTGACGAGTGCTTACTGGAGCTGGCACCTGCGCCCTCCTGCAGGGCCGACACCCCCCAGGTCTCCAGACCCACCTGCCAAGAGAGGGGGTGGGGGCTTTGCCTCGTCTCTGGCACTCAGTCTCTGGCACCAGCTGTCTCCCGACTCTGCTCTTTCTCCTGGGACTTCACAGGTGATACCAGTGTTGTTTTTGAGGCGCTGGAGATTTCAGTACCTGTTTGTGTCCTGGGTATACATAGGAATTGACATTGAGCCCAAGTCAGAGCGCCTAGCTCTGGGGTTCTCCGACTAGGGAAGGAGGTGGTTGTATTCAGGGCCTCACTAGGTCTGGGGCTCCTAGTTTCTACCACTGTACAGAATGTGGCTCTTTGCCTGCTTCCTAAACCTCAGCTTCTGGGGAGGCCAGAGGCTGAAAGTCAGTGGGTTTCCTGCTGAGTCAGTGACAGATAACTGAGCCCTGGGGAGCAGCAGGGTCTCCCTCCTATGCCCTGCACCACTTTATGAGATCTTAGGCTTGCGAACCTAGTTTGGATGTTTTGGGCTTCGAAGGGATTGCAGAAATTTTGTTTTGAAATAAATTT